GTTGGGGTGGGGACAGGTGTTACTGTCTTAGTAATTCACTGAGTTATGAAGACAAAAGGACACATTTGGGTGCTGACTGTGTTTTGAAAGAGGTTGAAAGTCTCTGATACCACAGGCTAATGCAGCAGTAGTTGTAGGGCGGCTACAGTGCACCCCCCCACCACCACCACCACCAACCCGATTCCCCTCTTAGCTCCAGAAGCCTCAATCACCGACTCGTACCTCCCCAGCAAAATTGATCGTGTATGTGTGTGCGTGTGTGTTGACTCCTAAAAAGAGCCAGAGTATTGAGTCTATAGGGAATAGAAGTAGGTATGGGCATCTCCATTCCCAAAGCTTGGGAGATTTTGATAAAAACCACTTCTCTCTTTCCATTGACACCAAAGAGGAAGGTTGAGACACACAAATCAAAGATTCACGCAGAGTTTGAGCAGCAGAAAAACTTCCTGGCCGAAGAGGAACTGAGGCAACTGCAGAAGCTGGAGATGGATGAGAGGAAACAGCTTAAAATCTTGGGCGAGGCAGAAGTAGAGCTGGCCCAGAGCAGGGAGGCTCTACAGGAGCTGATCTCAGAGCTGGAGCGGAGGAGTCGGGGCTCGGAGCTGGAGCTGCTGCAGGTGAGATGGGAGAGGCTCCCCCTCTGAATTCAGAGTCACTGAAAAAAGCCAGAGGGCTTTTTTCTAGGGCTACCATCAGAGCAAACGGAAACCTGGTCCCTGGAATTTTCTTAAATAAAACAAACTAGAATTCGGACCCATAAGTGGTTTGCATTCGAGGCATGGAGAGGTACAGATGTAGGAAGGACTATTCCATGCAGCAATTTTTTTAAATGGACACCTCTGATAAGTGTCTGCTCTAACACATCCCAGGTTCATGACCTTGAGAAAGGTCCTTAGTCTTTCTGAGTATCAGGTTTCTCATATGTTGAATGGATATTATCATATTACATATCAAAGAAGGTTTGTGAGGATTTAATGAGAGGATCCACTAAGGCACTTTGAGTGTCTGGCCATGGGAAGGTTTTCATAAATAACTAAAAATTAGGAGCCCTGTAAGTAAGCCTCCATAACTCTAGGTTGTCATTTTTCCTTTCCTAGACTTAATTTCTCCATTTGTGAAACGAGGAGGGGAGTGGACTACATGACAAAGGTTTCCCAAACTTTAGTCATAAATTTACCATCTTTACATTTTCTGCTACTTTTATGAACTACCTAAGTGATTTTAACTTGTTATTTTTCTTTAAATTGTCTCACTCTTTAACCAGAATAAATTTAGTTTAAAAGCAAATTTGTCCTAACATAGTAGCCAAGAAAACATGTGTTGATATGTTACTGATATTTTTTCTTATTTATTTTATAACAATAATAATAACTGCATATTCATCCATAGCACATATTACAGGCCAGGCATTCAATCCCTCATGACAATGCAATGAGGTGGGTGCTACTATTATCCCCATTTTAAAGACGAAAATACTAAGGTGCAGAGATGTTAAGAGACTTAGTGAAAGACTAAAGCTTACCCAAGTTCAGCCAAATAGTAAGAGGTAGAGGTAAGATTAAAACAATTACCA